GAAGAGGCCCTGCTTCCTGTCTGGATTGAGAGTGCCCACAGGGCCTGTTCCCTGTCCGGCATGGATCCCTGTGGTGAGGCCCTGATGAGTCAGTGTGGCAGCCAGCCTGAGAGACGCACCATCAGCCCTCAGCCCTCAGCCCTTTGACGTCTGCTGGACCCTCCACCTGAACCCTGGCGGCTAGCACCTCCATCTCACTTGGGGCATGTGGCAGACGTCTCCAGAGCTTCCATGAACTTGAACACATGTCTGACACCTGCTTCTTCTCCACCAGTGTCACCTAAGTTCTGAAATCAAGCTAGAGGTCAGACCTGAGCATCTGGGCAGAAAGGGCCCAGCCGAGTAGCTCTCAGTGGCCATAGGCCTCCTGTCCCTCCCCCACCTCTGGCCCCCTGGCCACCAAGCATGGAAGGAGGACGTCACACACAGCTTTGGACAGGGCAGGGCCAAGTGGGTGTGGTGGGCAACCAAGGCCTACGGGCAGGACAGGACCTTTCCCACCTGCACCCAGGTGCTCAGAAGACCCGGGCCTGGACATCCTGATGGTCAGCCCTGCTGGACTCCAAGACTAAGTTCCTCAGAGCAGCCCTTTCTCAATACTTGATTCTCTCTCTCTCTCTCTCTCTCTCTCTCGTGTGTGCGTGTGTGTACACGCGTGCTCGTGTGCGCATGCGTGCATGTGCATGTGTCACTACATCAACACTGTTGGACAGAAGAACAAACCTTCATTCAGCATCAATGTAAGGATATTCACACATCACAGAGCTTGTAGAAGCTTCTGTTGTACACTTGTGAGGAAATGCATGGAAAGACACATAACGAGTATTTTGGACCTCATGAATTCGACAGCACCTTGAGGGTTGGCTGCCGTGGGCCCCAGGCCACCCTTCCCCACGTGGCCTCTGTGCATCGGTCTCTGCCCTCCTCCCTGGCCACCTCCTCACCCTCAGCACTGCTGGTGGGTGCAGCATGTGAGTCACTGGACACTGAAGGCACCTAGGCATGCAGGGATCCCCGGCCTGCCAGCCCTCAGCAGCCATGCCACGCCAGAGCCCAGAATCCTCCATGCCCACACCCCATGGCCCTCCCTGGTGGAATTCCACCACCGCGCCGCTCAAGGCACGTCTATCAGTGGGAGACTCTCTGCCAGGACGCACAACATGTTTTCAATGGAGCAAAGAAATTTAAATGGGAAGAAATTATAGCATGGGCGAATTTATCCCTTTCAAGATAATCTTATTTAATAACCAAAAAAACCTCACAAAGATGTGCATTTTATCCAGCTACAAAGGCAGCATGGCAGGGTCTATACTGCGGTAATTACATGTTTGGGGTTTCGTTCCTTCTTTAAACTTGATTTCTATTATTTCAGAAAATCAGCCAGTGCCGAAAAGACCATTCATTTATTCTATTGCTGGGTGGCCCTTCCCCTATGAAAATAGGTCAAGAACAGTAATCTAAATTGACGGCTGATAAATAATTAAAGCTAATGGAATTTTCTCAAATCTGTGAACTAAAATCTTTGAGAAATTGCCGGGACATACTGTCTGCTGTTGTGCAGAGAGAGATTTTTTATTTAACAGTCAAGTTTAAATGCCATTTTAAAACCTCCCTTTGCCGTGACAGAGACGAGATTTTGTGCTCATCTGTAAAAGCCGCAGCAAGCCCGACGCCGACCATAGCCTCAGTGATGAGATGGGAAGCGAAGGTTCCAGAGTCTTGGAACAAAGGGGAATCTCGCTTGCCATCAAACTGTTTTTTAAGTTGAGCTGTGCAATCAAGGTAGCACACAATATATTGTTATTTCTTAAACACGCCATTCGTGGCCTGAGCTCTTGTGTTCTTTAGTAAGAGAGACATGTGGCTATCTGAAAGCACCAAGCGTGGAACCACGACCCTTCCACGCAGCAGGTGTGGTGGTGCACGCCTGTAATCCCAGCACTGAGGAGTTTGAGGCCAAGGAGGACAGTACCCGTTTGAGACCCCAGTTCCTCTTTAAAGAAGCAGTAGCTTTGTTAAGCTGCTATGCCTAACATATGTCTAATCTGATGTTGTGTGTACTGTTTATTTTCTTATGTTTATAAATGAACTTAACTTCTGAAAATAAACTTTTTCTTTCTTTTTAAAATTTTTCCTTAAAAAGCACATTGTTCTGTTCAGATTTCAGTGGGAATTTTTTCACTGGAATTCCTCTCCCCTAACGTGTGAATGATCTGGAACCGAGTGCCTCCATCTTGTATTTCTGGAGCTGCAGCATTCCAGAATTCTATGGATGACTTTCCTGCTTGGGCTGGCCTTGAACCACAATCCTGAGTAGCTAGGGATGTGAGCCACCGGTTACAAGCTACAAGAAGTGTGTTGAGATGCAGGCTTGCAGTTTTCAGGCATGACTGAGTGTGTGTCAGCTCTGGTTTGGGTCTTGCTTTTAAATCATCCTGGTTTTCTGTAGTAGCTCTTCCCCCTCCCCCCCTCAAAAAATGCCTTGATAGTGCTTTGCTGTTTTCTCTCCACTGTAAAGGTGGCTCAGATCGGCAGTCTGAGAATAACTCGAGGAAGTGTCTCTGTAAACACACCTTATTATTTGCTTTGAACTTAGGGGAAAGGTTGAAGTGAGCTATTTTGGCTTTTGCCAACAGACATCTGACATTAACAATCCCAAGATCATCATGATGGAGGCCTTAAAATGCTCGTGTCTTTATGGATAGTACAGGACTAAACACAACAGAATTCAGCCTGAGAACCTGTAATCAAGCACCTTGCCCTACATGATTGTTTCCGTTTTAAATATGTGGCAATTACTAAATCAATCATTCATTCCAATGAGCAGTTGGTGTGTGTGTGTGTGTGTGTGTGTGTGTGTGTGTGTTGGGATATGAACTCAGAGCCTTGTGATTGCTAGGCAAGTGCTCTGCCCTATGAGCCACACCTAGGACTTTTTGATTTTCAGGTAGAATCTTGGACTTTGGCTTGAGTGTTGTTTTGTTTTGTTTTGTTTTTGCCAGTCCCAGGGCAGTCCCTTTTGCTGAAGGCTAGCACTCTACCACTTGAGCCACAGTGCCACTTGTGTGTATGTGGTACTGAGGAATCAAACCCAGCACTTCGTGCGTGCTAGGCAAGCACTCCACCACTAAGCCACATTCCCAGCCCCTGAGGTTTGTTCTTGAGATAAAGTCTTGCTAACCCTGTGTGGCTGAATTTTAATTGTCCTCCTGTCTCCTGCCTCCTGAGTAACTGGGATGGCAGGTGTGAACCACCATGCCCAGCCTCTGCCTCTCGTGTGGTTTGGGAAAGCCTGACCCAGGCTCACTTCATTTGCGATTGTATAGCAGAGGGCTTAGTACTGGGCCCCCGAACCAGAAGGACAGAGTCCAAGGTGCCTGGGCCTGTCCTCGGGGCACAGTGCTCAGAAAACTTGGCAAACCAAGGGCAGAATTGAACACTCTGGATCCTTCTCCTTAGTGTGGTTCCAAACCGGATAATATCTGTGGCAGTAGACTTGCAAAAGGGATTTTTCCAACTGCCAAGAGTAAAATTAGAACGCTCGGCTTTTAGCTGGTGCCTTGAAGTGCCTATGTGTCAGTTTGTGTTCGACGTGTGAAGATAGAGTGGGTTTTTTTTTCCTCCAACTGTCTTTAAATATGCGCGTGTGTGCGCGCGCGTGTGTGCACACACACATGGCGTTGGCTTTAGCACGGAAAAGGGCGCTGCGGTGGGGCTGTGGGAGCCCACGCATGCTCCGGTAAATGGTTTCAAAGAATGGCGAGGGCTTGGAAGAGCAATGGAGCTGTCCAGGCCCCCGGAACACACGCTCCCTGCCGCACCCCTCCCACCTGCTGTGCATGGCCGGGCCTGGCTGGGCGCACAGGGTTGAATGAGGGGGGAATCTTGGGTTGTGGTCTTAGACCTCAGCACCCCAGTATGTCCCCCACTTTTCCTTCACTTGCAGTGGTCCCAACTCAGGGTCTTCCGCCTCCCTGCCCCATCCCACGACCCTGCCCAACTACACCCTCTCCTCTCTGAACCTGAGCCCTATGGAGCCTTAGGGTGCACTCCCATGATGCCCCTGTGGCGTGGCCTTGGAGAGTGGGCAGGGTGGCTCACCTCGGTGGGACAGGCCAGGTCCAACCCCGCCATGCTCCCTGTGCCCCAGTGCCACCTCCCTGGATGGATCGCTGTGCACCCAATTGTGCACGGCAGCCTGGCGGCCCACATGAGCGACCGTTCCTTCCTCACCCCAGCAAGACACCAGGGAGCGCGTGGCCCCCACCCCCACTGCTGCCTCCATCCTTCTGTGTTCTGAGGCCTGTGGAACCTCCCTGGCCCCAGGCCCAGGCTGTGGCTGGATGTCACTCGCTACCTGGCTCAGGGACAGCAGGAGGGCCTGCACGCACATCAGCAGGCTGGCGCTCCCCGACATGGCTTCAGTGGGCTCTGACCTTGCCAATGCTAGCTGGCCATGATTGGGGTGGACCTGGGTCAGCTTGAGGGTGGAGAGAAGTGGCTCCCTCCTGGCACAGCAGGGAGTCTCCCGTGCTGTGCCGTATCCCCGGTCCCTCCTCGGATGGGTTTGCATCCTGCAAGGGCTGGCTTCAGCCTGCAGACCTCTGACCTGTGTTCCTTATGTAGCCGGGTTCACAGGTACGAACTGCCACACCCCACTGGTCTGTGGAGATGAGGTCTCACTATTATTCCAGTTGGCCTGGAACCTAAGTCCTCCCAATCTCTTCTACCTAAGTAGCTGGGACTATAGGTGTGAGCCACCATGCCCAGCCTCATAGCACATTCTAACCAGGCCTCGGTAGAAGCTAGTGTGTGTAATTTGTAAAATTGGCATGGTGTATGGTTTTAAGGGTGAAGGTCAGTAGGGGGTCCAGGATGGTGGTGGGGTGATTCTCAGCCTGAGATCATTGTAGGGAAAACCCTAATGGATGTTTTCCTTCTCTTTCTTCTTCCTTTGGCTACCCTGGCCTGGCCTGACCTGACCACTCACCTCACTGCAGGATTTGCGCAAGCAGGTAGCACCGCTGCTGAAGAGCTTCCAAGGAGAGGTAAGCCCCCCGGGGTTACATTAAACAGATGTCCTGGCCACCGTAGTGCCGGGAGGAGCCTTCCGGCTGCACATGCGGACTGTGCCGTCCCGTGGACAGACACTGCTCAGGCTGCAGCCTGGAGCCCTCAGCCTCTCCGGGCGCCACCGTGCCCATCTGGCCCGCAGGAGCAGGCCTCGAGACCCTGATGCTTCGTGAGGAGCGGCGTGACTCCTGGGCTGAGGCTGAGCTCACAGGAGTGAATCTGGGTTGCACAGGCACACGCTTTCCAGTGGAACTTTCCAGAGGGCCCTCGGCAGATGAACAGTGGGTAGGGATGGCCCCCAACAGGGAGAGGAGGAGGTGTCCCGTGGGCACCCATTCCCTCCTGGCCCTGTGTGGGCATTGGAAGATTTTGGAACGCTAGCATCGGGGTCGGCAACGGAGCCGGCAGAGCGAGGGCAGCTGCCCTGCGCTGCTGCTTGTGGAAGAGTCCAAGCCTCGGGTCAGCACTGTCCCATCATCTGGTGGCTGGTGGCTTTGGCACTGGAGTTGCCAGATGTGAACAGTCAGAGACACATCTGAGCCTCCTGGTGCCCGACACAAAGGCTGTTGTTGAAAAGGGTCAGAGATTAGCTTGAAGGAAGGTTTATTAGGTCCCTGCTAATGGCCACGTCCACGTGAGGGATGGAACATGGCGTCCTAAGGCGCCATGGGGCAGGCTGCGACTCCCCAGCTCCCGTCTATACCCCGTGGTAAGGACCCCTCACATCTCCTTCGGCAAACTTACCCGCACAGCACAACTTTAGTACCTGCTGGGCTCAGAGTGCACTCAGTCTTCAGACACCTGCTACTCTGTGTCCTCTGAACGTTGTCTTCCCAAATTGCTATATTAAGTGAATACTACTTGCTATGCAAGATTTTAGCCAGGAGGCTAAGATCCAGGGGATCAAAGTTCAAAGTTCAGGCAGAAAAGTTGGAAGGATTCCTTCAGTTAACCAGCAAGAAAACACAAAGCAGGACAGGAGGAATGGCTCAAGGGGTAGAGCACCAACCTAGCTAGCAAGAGAGAGGAGAAAGAAAGCAGCCTTTTTGCAGAAACCCTACTTGTTTGGGAGGAGGAACTTAAAGGCAGAGGTAACTATTTGAGTCTGGTCAAGGTGAGGGTAGTTTTCCTTCAACTAGACCAGAGGCCGATGCCTGCCTGGGGCAGGGCCACAAGGCTGCTGGCTTAGCCAGGGACTCGTACTTGTTCTCTTGGTGGCTTCTGCTCCTCAGCTCTGTTCCAGTTCCTTCCAAGGCCCTGGGTTCCTTCTGCAGAAATATGTTGTGACTGAAATATCTCTGAATTTATCCCTCCCCTCCACTCCCCTTCCCTTTCTGTTCTTCCCTTTCCTTCCCCTTCCTTTTCTCTTTCTTCTCCTCCTCTCCTGGTGTCCTGTTCCCCAGCTGGGATCCACCCTCAGAATCTCATACACGCTAGGCAAAAACTTCCCAAGACTCCATCTTAACCAATAAAAGCTGGGTGTGGTGGTGCATGCTTGCCATCCCGGCTTTGTAGAAAGCATAAATATGAATGTTACACTCCAGGCCCATCTGGACAGACCTTATTTTTAAAAAATCATAACTAAAGCAAAAAGGCCTAGCCAAGCACAAGGCCCTGGGTTCAAACCCCTATACCACCAAAACAAAGGCATCTCATAGTCCAACAATGCCTTAAGCAACCCTTTGAATAAATCTCTGGCAATCTCTCCCTTTTCTCTTGGAAGGTTGAGGGGGGCTGGGTACCAGAACAAGGGTGCCCCAGTATCCTCGGGGGTAATCAGAGCACTCACATTAGAGGCAATGAGAGACAGAATCTTGAGGCCAGCAGCTGCTTAGAAAGCCAGCACAGTAGAGGTCAGAACAGCAATGGGTGAATCACAAGTGCAAGAGGATACATGAATGAGAAAGAAAAGGCCCAGGAGATGGACATGCTCACTTGGGGTTTTTGGTTTTTTTGGTGCTGGTGACTAGGGTTTGAACTCAGGTCTAGAGCTTGCTAGGAAAGCACTCCACCACTTGAGCTACATGCCCAGTTGCTTTTCTATGAGTTTCTTTTCAGCTATGAGTTCTACATTTTTGCCCCAGATGGCCTTAGCTCACAATTATCCTACCCTTCACCTCCCAAGTAGCTGGGGTTGCTGGAGTGCGCCACCACATCCACCTCAGTTTTGAGATAGTCTCACTAGCTTTTTTCTCGTTTGCCTCAAACTGCTATGAGATTCAAGTGAGCCACATACCCAACCAGACTTGTTTTGCTTTTTGTTGTTTTGTGTTCATTTGTTTGTTAGTAGGGATTTGGGGAGGGGGAGAATCTCTTACTTTGGTAGTGAGGGTTGAACCCATGGCCTCACCTGGGCCAGGCCAGCACTCCCCTCGGAACCACGCCCCTCTGTCCTCAGCGCTGGCACACCTACCTGACAAACCACTTTACTCATCAGGAAAGATCGCCATTGCGTTACTAACACCTTAGCTGCAGCTGAGATTAACAAGATAACAAGAAAGGATTATAAACGGCTTTATTCTCATTCACTTTAAAACTTAGACAAAGTGTCCTAAGTTTTTAGAATCCCATCCCTGCCCCCAACTGCTTAAAGAAGCTGCAGAAAACATGAAGTCTCATGGCCACTACAGCAGTGCTCCTGCAGGTCCAGAGTTCTCTGGGAGAGATCTGTCCATCCTTCACGGAACATGGAGTCCTCATCTTTGCAAACTCCTGGAGAAGATAGAGAAAGAACAATTCCTAACTGATTTTATGAGGCCGATGTAACCTCGATGCCAACAGCAGATGTGAACATCACAAAGAGGGAAATAAAAGTCACTGTTATTTATGAATAGATGTGCAGCCCTTAAAAAGGGCTGGGCGAATCCACCAAGCTTGGTGTGGCCCTAGAGTTCTGCTTGAGTTCACATAGAGCTCATGCCATGCGTGGAGGAGAGGAGGATTGACAGTTCACTAGTGTTAGGAAAAGAATCTAATTAAATCCAGTCATAATAAAATGGCACCGGCACACTGGGAGCCAAGGGAGCCTCTTTCCCGTGGGGAAAGGTGTTTATTAAACCCCACATCAATCGTCAGCCCTACTAGTGTTAACTAGGAGCAAGACAAGAATTCCCCGTGTTGCTGATTTTATTTAACTGGAAGTCTTAGCTGGCAGTGATAGCAGGGAGAGAAAGAAATAAAGCAGAAGCATTATAAAACTTGTCATTTTTCAAGTGAGCTTCAATAATATAACATGGTTGCCAGATACAAAATCAATACACAGGAGTAATTATATGTCTCTATATCAGCAGTAAACCAAAAGCATAATTTAAAACAAAAACAACAAAAAAAGAACAATACTACTGAAGGGCTGGTCCTAGTGGCACACATCTGTAATCCCAGCTCATCAGGAGGCAGAGATGGATGGATCACCGTCCCAGGGCAGCAGCCTGAGCAAAAGTTAGCAAAACTCTGTCTCAGAAACTACAAGAGTGTGGTGTGGTACTCAGCGGGGGAGGAGGAGAGAGGAGGATCCTGGCCCAAGGCTGACCCAGACAAAAACATGAGGCCCTCTCGGAAAAACAGAGTAAAAGCCAAAGGCATGGGGATTGCCTAGCAGACATGAGTTCAATCCCAGTGCCACCAAAAAAAAAAAAATAACAACAACAACAATAATAATACAAAAGGTGCTATTGGAGGTAGCAACCATAACAAAAAAGAATAGCTAGAAATGAACGTGCATTACTCCAGGACTTCTGGGAGAAATAAGACATTGTCATGCAAGCTTCTCAGATCTCCACGGAACCTGCTCCACATTTAGGGAGAAATCCCGCTGTTCACTTCCACAGTGCCATGGTCACAGCGGTGCCAGACTGACCCCATCAGGGCTTTCTAGATAGAACTTAGAAAGCTGATCCCAGAACCCCAGGGTCCCAAGAGCACGCAGGAGCAGAGGGCCAGCCCCCATGATGTGTGCAGGCAAGAGGCAGGAAGTAGCCACAATATTTGGGGGTACACACAGTCAGACCACAGGGAGAAGAGCAGGATAAACAAGACACGGATTGGATGCATTGCAAAGTCAAGGAATGTTCTCAGCGGCCTGTGTTTGGGGGTTTGTTCTTTATTCTCTGTGTAGGAGTTTCTTTGGCTTCCTGCCAGTGGTGAGGCCCCCCGCCCAGCCATCTTTCCTCCATGCATTTGTTCAGGAGCTGTGAGTCCCCTTGCCGAGGCTCGCCAGGGTCTGCCGGCTTCCTGCACACCCATGTTACCTGCATTGCCTGGCGTTGGCCAGCCTTGCCCAGATGTCCAGGGCTGGGGGAGATGGAAGCATCATCTTCATTAGAGGAAGGCCACCCAAGCCCCAAAGGCCATGATGGCAGCGCTGCGCCCAGGCCTGGTCCTCACCCTGGCTTACCCCAAGGCGGCTTGCCATGCATGAAGCCGTCACCATGTCATGGCCTCACATGGCCTTCTTCTCTGTCTGTGTGTCTGTGTGTCTTTGTGTCTGTGTGGTCTGTGTCTATGTTTGCCCACATGTGTTCGCATGGTTACTGGGGCTTGAACTCAGGGCCTGGGTGCTATCCTTTAGCTTTTTCACTCAAAGCTATCGCTCTACTACTTGAGTCACAGCTCAACCTGTGGCTTTTTGGTGGAGGTAAGAGTCTTACCAAGGCGGCATTGGTGGCTCACGCCTGTAATCCTGGCTACTCAGGAGGCTGAGATCCGAGGATGGGGTTCAAAACCAGTCTGGGCAGGAAAGACGTGAGACTCTTATCTCCAATAAACCACTAGAAAACCGGAAGTGGCACTGTGGCTCAAGTGGTAGAGCCCTTGCCCTGAACTGAAGAGCTGAGGGACAGCGTTCAGGCCCAGAGTGACTGACCAAAAAAAAGAGTCTTACCAACTTTCCTGCCCAGGCAGCTTTTGAGCTGCAGTTTTCACTGAGATCCCAGCCTCCTGAGCAGCTAGGGTTATAGGCGTGAGCCTCGGGGCCTGG